ATATATATATATATATATATATATATATCTTTTTTCAAATTAAATAATAAAATACTTTTCATTCATCCACTTAAGTTCAAATACGGTTTTTTTTTAAAACTTGTAGTAGATGGTATTTTTTTCAAATATAAATTCATTAATTAAATTAAGTCAATGAGAGAATAAAAAGAAACAAAAATAATAATCCAACACCATACATCAGAAGGAAAATCGCCCACTGTGTCTCTGTAGCGTAATAGATAGCGCGTTGGACTTCAAATCCAAAGGTTTTGGGTTCGCATCCCTCCTGAGATGGCCTAATTTCTGAAAATGTGATTTCTTTTTACTATGCCATTTTATCGGAATAATTAAATTTAATTAATGAATAAATATTAACAAACACACAAATAATAGTCCAACACCCTATATAGAAAGGAAAATCGCGTTCAATTTTGCCTCTTAATATTGTGATTATTTCATTGTAATACATATATTTATATTAATTGTAATTATTTAATAAAAAGTAACTAAAAAAATGTTTCTTTGTTGACGAAAGTAGGAATTGACTTTATTCTTTATTTTTTTTATATTTTACTTGTTCTACTTATTTCATTTTATTTTTCCTCTGAATTTTTCCTTATTAATAGAGACAAATATTTTAATTGTATAATCTAGTAGGATTCATTCCAAATCCAACATTCATTGAAAAGAAAAGAAACATATCTGCATATATAATAGTATCCATCTGTGATGCCCAAAAAAAACATGAATCTATTTGAATTCAATTCTTTTATATCTAAGAATTACAGTATAACTGAAGAATTTTTACATATATATTACATATTGAATGATAAAAAATGTATATAATGAAGGTAATTACCTCCATAAAGAAAATGAAGCAAAATAGTTATTTTTTTAATATTTGTGAACACGAAATAATAAGATATTGTAACATATTGAATGCGCAACTCCTGTACTTAAAAAAAAAAAAATCTCATTTTTTTATTAAAATTTATGTAGGTTGTTCATTTACACCATCGTTTGAAAAATAAATTATTGTTACCTTCATTTTTTTGTTTTATTATTATTTTTTTATTTACTAGAGAAATTTAGCACATAAATAATATTTTTCAACATTTGCTGTATCAGAAACACTCATGTACATTCTTTAGTTTTAACAAAACACTTAAAATTAGAGAATAAATTAAAATTGTTTTCGAATGGTCATCACAGGCTTTGCTCATGATTAGTTTCTTAAATGAATTTTTTAGAAAATGCTCCTTTTGTGTGCCATTTTACGAATAAACAAACCTTTCACTTTTCACATTACTATGCTAACTGATTAATTAATGATATGGAGAAGTTTTAATTATCATTTCGCGGTATCTGCATATCCTCTACCACGGGAAAAGCAAATACTGTTTAACGATTTAACGTGTATGCTTGCATCCGACACAAACATCTCTTATTGGCAATTTTACACACGATCGTCTATACCATGAGTTAAAACAATATTAATTAAAGAAACTTTATTTGTATTATGCACATGGCTAGGTATTATAATGTATGCCCTTAGTATTACTATTTCCCAAAACAAGCACTATGCAATTGCTAAAAATAATTAATTGCTATAGTATGCTTTTAGTGGGCTTTGAGATTGTAATACGAAATATATTTTTATTACAAAGCCCATATATACCAGTTATTTAACCCCTTGATTACCGATTAAAGTTTAAGCGATTCGATTCCCAATGCCATCATTTTTCACATAGACTTGCCTATGCGATACATTGGGGGGGGGGGGGAAGAAAATAAACAAATAATCAAATTTTCCCCTGAAATAAGTAAATTCTTCGCAAACACTGTCAATATCCTTTTACTGCATTCCAAAACCTTCGGAATAGTTTTACTGATAACAGCGCAATGAACAAAATCTAATTTCGGAAGGACGGATATATGTGCCTGGGGCACATAACGCATCTTTGGAGCAAGACGGATATATACGCTGGCGGCACTTGAGAAGTTAATAGTCTTGTAACAATAACAAAAAAGCATTAATGTATAATAATTTGAAGGGGAATTGTGTGTGTTCAGATAATTTGAATAACTTTCAATTATAAATTAGTTGTTTCCTTTATAAAAAAGTATTTGAAATTAGAGATTGAAAATAATATTACTCAATTTTCATTTTTTCTATATGCCAGGTGTGACCACAGTAGCCTAGTGGTAAGGCCTCAGTTCCACTGAAGAACCACTGTGTAGAGGGCTGATACAAGCTAAATCCCGTAGCAAGGTGTGGTAGATTGGAGAGGTTCTGTCAGCTCAAATGACCTGACCGAGGTACAAAATTACGAGGTCCGTCACCAATTGCCCTGGAATTGCTTCATAGTGTGATGATAATATACACTTACTCAATAAGTCAGATAATAATGTGAAGATTCATCCAAGTATAACAATCAAAATATAGTACTGTTATATTAAATGACGTTTTGTTTTTGAGTATAGCATTTTCGACACTTTTTATCACTACTCATTGTCCTCCTTACTTCTCGATGAAGCTAACAGAATGGAAAGTAATGAAGAAACATTTATAGTTATTTTTGACATATTCAAGAAAAATTCTGACTACATATGTGTGTGTGTGTGTTTTCAAAACCAACTACTATACAAATTAAAACAAACTAGAGAACGACCATGGTAAGCAAAGGTTCATGGTCATTTGATTGATTCTAGGTAATTAACGTCGTTCTCTGAACCCACACCAGGGCTACTGGCAACGGACATTCTGAACAACTGTCACTGGCACATCTTTCCCAAGCTTCCAAATGGGGTGACCTTGAGCCTTTTTACATTTATTGTGCATAAGCCTTTTTACACGAAAGATCTTCAATGGCACTCGGTTTCGAACCTGCGACTCGACAATGCCGGTAAACTGTTCACGATCATGACTACACGATTACCTTGACACAGATTTGATTATACCTATGCTAGCCATAAATTTGTTCTGGGTTGCAGTGCCCAAATCAAACTACGGGTTCGAGTCCTGATTTCACGAAATTATCATCTTGTTAAATAAGGAGGATGCTACACATACAAATTGGGATGGGTAATAAGTTCGTTTGAATTGTGTCAATAAGAAAAATATTAAATCATTTTAGGCACCTTGCTCTCCACTTGCTCATAATTGAAAACAAAGAAATTTGTGTCTCCAATAGTATTGATATTGTTTTGGATGGATGTTTTTATAAAGAGAAGGTGAACTAATTTTTCACCTACTCATTTAGATTAAAACTATAAAATTAAATCTTACACAGCTCATTTGCTTAAATATTATTAAAACCATTCATTTTATCTGAACAGTTTTAAATTTAAACACATTAAAATTCTAATGCACATTAGAAAAAAAAAACTATTCTGAAATTAATATTCGAAGTAAAATCTATTAATAAGGCAATGACATATACAGGTATTGCCAAATAAAGGGGTGATAGTAAGCAGCATGGGGACGACAAATCAACATAGAACATGGGTTCGCAAACAACAATTAGTCATTTTCGCAAAAACAGTTACGAATGATGTGATGTCGAACGGAATAAAAGTAGAAATAAGAAGTCAGAAATAAATTTATTAGACGTAAAGCATGTTTACAATACGAGCAATGCATCACAGCTCACCATCAGAAATGCAACGACAAGTAATTGTCACAGAAATTGTTTGAAGTTGTGGCCGCGTAGGTCAGATCACAGCAAACAACAACGGACGAAGAATTGTCGGGCACTGTCAAACAAATCCGTTGTGCTGCTGATGTCAGCTGAAGCGACAGTGATTCATGCCTTGAGATCCTTCACTGTAGTCACCGACATCTCTTACAAAGCCCTTACAGGTGACTCCAGAAGAGATCCAAAGGATTGATGTCCGCAGATTGCGGAGGCTAAGAACAGATCCACCACTTTGAATCCATCCTTCGGAATTAGGGATTGCAATATCGTACCAAAAGTCCAATGCAGGTATTCGGTATTTTTTAGATGTTAATACCGGGATACTGGTTTTAATACCGGTATTAGAAATCTTAGAAAAAGAATGAAAACACAGGTGTTTCTTTGTTTCATTTGCCAGTTTATTAGAGAGTGTAATTATCACAAAAATAATTTGTATTTTATAAATTTTAACAGTAAATAAAGAATCACGAAAAGAAAAAGAATGTTTTATTTGCACTGTGCCACCATATTCTTTTGAAATATAAATAATGAAACCAAACCTAAGTATTATCAGCTGACTTTTTATGTTCTTTATGGTTATTCTTATTCATTGTTGTGGGTTATTATTTATAAGTATATATAAATATAATGAATCTGAAAAATGTTTTGAAGTATGATATGCAAATAAAATGTGAATAACAAACTCAACAATTTAAAAAATATCGAAATATTACACACTTTATCCACAACCTTGTTTTCATACATACGAATATCAGACTACGAATCCTGCGTGTGTGCAGTATCGCTCTGAGCTGTAATAGGATAGTTTTGATCCACCCCTTATATGATTCACATAATCTCACTACGAAGCAACTTTGTATTGACAGTCTAATTAATTTTGCCCATTAGGGAGACACAAAAACAAAAATGTGTACTATTTTGCTATGTTAACGATCCCTGAACAGATAATGGAGACAAATTTTAAAAAAAAATCCAGTTAATGCCGAAAAACCGGTATTTAAACTTGCAAATACCGGTATTACAAAATTGTACAAATGGCTCAAAATACAGGTATTCGGTATCTCGGTATACCGGAATACCGGATTTGAAATCCCTATTCGGAATATGTAGCATGGATTTGAAAATGCACCTTAATCGAAAAATGGGATGGTGCACCATCTTGCATGAACCTCACGCTCTGGTGCTCAGTGGCTGGTACTGTCCGCGGCAGCTCCGGAAATTTCTATACGTGCAGGATCCTTCAACCCTATCACGGAACCTCAAATATCCACATTCGCTTGGTCACTCCTTTCGTATGCTGTACATCGTCCTCTCTAACGTTGTTATATCTAAATTTTCACAGACTTAACGGGATTTGTCGTCCCCATGCAGCTCCACTATTACGCCTCTGAACTTGTTGGTATCGAATTCGGCAATACTCTGTATATATATATATATATAGTTGAACCTGTTTTTATGCGGTAGACAAGGACCGCATGAAAGAGATCGCACAAAAAATATTCAAAAATTTCATATATTCTTACATATAACAAACTAATTCGTGGAAATACTACAGAAAACTTTTTTTTGCGGTGAATAGGGACTTCATAAAAAAAG